TGTGTACATGTTTCTGGTTTTGCTGAAGACAGAAAATGTTTTGATATCAGGGCAGAATAGGGGTCGAATCCTGGTATACACCATTACAAGATTAAGACATGCCAAAGAAAATGATTGTCACAATTCAGTTAGATAGGAATTTAACTTACAAAAAGTCCTTCTCTAAGAACACATACAAAATCAAATAAATCTATATTTTTCTTTAATAAAAGATAAGGATTAAAAGGCACAAGAAACGTAGCCCAAGAGAAAACATGGAAAAAAGCCAGGAGCACAATGAAGGCATCATAACAGTGTATCTAGCTCATTCAAAGTAATTTGGAAGATTTATCTTGAGTTACACATTAAGGAAACATTTTTCAGCAAAAAATGGATGTCATATTATCGAAACGACTATTCCAAGAATGAAGTATGATGGAATGGAAATCTGTACTTGCTAATTCCTAAACAAGCAGTCCTCACCATCTGAAATAATGTTCCACATCTAGATAAGTTATACGGATACAATACTATTTTAATAGAAAATTTTCTAAATCAGAGACACTGACCATTGACAATACTAGTTGATTTTCTTTAACAAAGCAGTCAAACATAATTATTGTCAAGGTAGATTTTCCAACTAATAACGATGTCACCAATGATTCATATGACTTAAGCAAAGAAGTCAATAAAATTCTTTTTTGGTTAATCAACCAGTATCAGGTTCTGGAAATGTAATTACCTTTAAGAATCCTCTGCATAAGCATTATGGTGTACAGTCTGACAGAGAAAACGATGGCCATTACTTACAAAATATTTGATAACAAACTGAGTTCCTTAAATACAAGGAATTGGATAACAAGACTAAGTTCCTTAAATACAAATATGAAGATCATGCCATCACAAAGCTAAATGTGTACACATACATGCTAAACAAATTATCATCACAAACATTAACAGTACATAAGATAAAATCAAGCAAGAGCAGAGATGATAACAACTGAAGCTACTGTGAGAGACTGAACAAAAGTCCTTCCAGTTTCAGATGCCATATTTTCTTTGTAAGAACACAATGCTAGTTACCAAAACATTGAAATTACAAACATAAATTCCAAATTGCGTTTCACGGAGCTCCTCCATTTTGTTTCCCGTTCTCCTTCTCTCATTTTTCTTTGCGAAAAGTAAATTTGCCAGAGATATCCACATCATTTTCTTCGGTTATTTTAGCAACATGCTTCAACAAATTCGACAACTCATGAATTTTCGATGTAGCACTTGACCGACCCTCATATTGACAATATTCGTCTTCATCGAGCCATTTGAAATGAGTGCAATTGTTAGTATAACAGAAGAATAGTCATACTAAGTTTTCTATCGTCTTTTCAACCTTCATACATTTCTGAATTCCCTTGTCGCATACTGGGCATAGTTTCTTCGTTGAACAATCCAACAAGCTGTGGCCCGACTTCCGGCAACCATGACAAATCCCTTTGTTCTTTCCCCCATAATAATATGCTGATACAGCCCAAAAATGAAAATAAAATCAGATCAAAAATAATATTTAATGAAAGTTTATAAATTCGTTTTATAGAAAATCCATTTAATTCATACCAAGATCAAGACTTGAACCTAAACATCCCTTTACATCACATCCATTTACATCCAATCACTAGTTTATTGCCATTTTTTTTGCATTTTCATTTTTCTTACAAATCATAAGCATCTAAAGTGGACGAACATAATCAGATCTTCTCCCTTAACCAGGTCATAAGCATTTGCAATAACAAATCAGAAGCATTTTCATTTTTCTTACAAATCAGTAAAAATTTAATCACATGCATCTTCTCCCCCTAACCAAATCTTCCATTCATTTACTTCTTAAATTTTCAAAATACGGCACTCCCGCACATATATTATGTAATGTATGTTTATAATCACAAGACTGGGGATGAAAATTTACCTTTAATTTAGTTCAAATCACGATTGTGATCCAACAAAATCTTCATTACCGTATCCTTCCGATTGGGTTTTGGTGGTACTTACGGTCTTCTCACCAATTGGATTGTTTTGGGGGTTTAGGGTTCTTGAGGTGGATTTGGGTGAAATGGAATCATGCCAAATAACTTACGGGTTGGATTTGGAGAAAGTTTCTTTTACAACAGATAGGATTTGTCATCTATGAATTTAGAAAGTGCATTTTTGAAATTTGTTGTGGCGTGTTTGGATGCGCCTTTGCTTTTTTGGCAATGAGTTGGCGAATGAGAAATCATTTGGAAGTATTTAACGGGCCACCTCAACTTCCCGTTATCCATGTAGACGCATCTATTGATGGTTTTAAATGGGTGAGTGATGGAGTTGGACGGAGTGAAGTTCAGTGGCCAATGAGACAATTTTGGAAGTTTGGTGAGTAAGTCGTGACATAACTCAAAGTTCAGTGGCTAATGAAACAATTAACTTAGTTTTGCTACTTTCAAGTTGCAATGATATAATAATTTTTGAATGAACAATTTGATTTTATATAGCAATAGAGACCGAACTATCGATCGACTTCAACATTATCGTTGGCAGACCGGCAACAACTTTTTTTGCAAATTTAATTGTACTCCTCTAACTCAAAAAGTTTGCATTCGTCACTAATTACAGATTTTTATCGTATCCTTTCATATGAGTGACAGCCATTGATAGTTATCTTTTACAATCCAGTCCCTGTTTGGCACATATTCTTTCAAAATGTATTTTTTCAAAACTCATTTTCAACCACACATTTTTCAATAAAATAATATTTTCCACCACATCAATAATTTTCCTTACTTTTTAACAATATATTTATCATCATATCACTATTTAAAATACATTCCTTACTCAGTAATATCCATTAAACACCCCCTAAAATGCATCAAACAAGTTGAAAACTTTCGAATGACAACAACCACAATATAGTTTGGGATTAGGGTTGGGCAAAAATCAATCTGAACCCCAAGCTAACCAGTTTGGGATGGTTTTTAGTTCAATTGGGTTGAGTTCGGGTTATGATATCAAATTTTAGGTCGGGTTAGGTTGGATTCCGGGTTATCTATTAAAACCCAATCAAACTCAACCCAACCCAACCCAATAAACTAAAAAATATTTAAAAAATTCTAGTACTTAAAACCAAAAATTAAAAACCTAATGATCAAAATTTTCCTCTGCCTCATGTATCTTCTGCCTCTTGTCTCTTCTTCTTCTTCTCATTGTTGCTTGTGTTTCAACTTCTCGACTCGATTTTTCAACGTGATTTTTGACTAAATACTTGAATTGAAGGAGAAGATTTACATTTTTAGTATTTAGGTTAAATTCATTTTATTCAATAGGTATAATATGCATGCATTTAACATGTATTTAGATTGATTTAATATGTATTTAATATGATCATGGTATAATCTATTTAACATGTTTTACAATATTTTTAATTTATATTGTTATATTGGAATTGAACTTAACCCCACGGACCATTTGATCCAACATCAATTGACTAAAGGCCTTTGAAATCTCCCTTTATAATGTAACTGAAATTGGTCCAAAATGAAATGGTATCAAACTTTAAAAAAAATTTATTCAAATTCAATGAAAAAGTCCCAACCATTGGGCCTATAAAAAATTGTCCAACAAAAGAATGATTGGGTCCAACTTGAATTGGACTCAAGTCCAAACCAATCAACCCAACCCAAACCAACCTGAGCTAGGTCGGTTTTGATTGGGTTGGGTTTTAACCGTGAATATGTTGGTTTTGATTTGAATTATTGTCAAATCGAACATGTTGTGTTGAGTTTGAGTTTGACTCAAAAACAATCCAATCCAATCCAACCCACGCTAACCCTATTTGGGATGAAGAAGACACCATTGGTGACAATTCGAATTACGACAACTAACATACAATTTGGGACCGAAAAGCTACGATAAATGTCGCATGCACCGTCAAGCATCGTGCGTGCGCCACGAAGCAATAAATTGGCACACGAGTGATTCTTTCGGAACGCTGGTCAAGATTTTGGTCAGCTGCTTCATATGTCTGATTCATGCATTGAACCATGATTTTTTGACACAGATTCCCCATCTTTGATTCAATATCCATTGTTCAAATGATATTATTTTGAAAGTTTTTTCTAACAATTTCTTTTTTTTTTTAATTATTATTGTTAATAAACTACCAAGGACATTGTATTATGTAGGTGATCTTCTTGAATTTTAAAATTCTTCACTTTTATTAATGAATAAGTTACCGAAATGAATTTAATCTGCAGATAATTTTCTTTATTTTTTTAATATTTTAAGTTATTTTATAAGCCCCTGTTTGTGGGGATTTAAATCATTTTTTTAGTAAATTTTAATAAAGTTTGATGAAATTGGTGATTAAAAAATTGTGGATCTCATGAAATATGTTGTTAAAATTAATTGGTAACTTTGAATTAAATTAAAATATAGATTTTAACTCATACCAAACATTGGCTAAATAAAATACAGACTAAATTCCATTCTATGGGGAATTTTATTAAGTTTTTTAATATACTTTTTTTACTTTTTGACGCAGTATTAGCAATGAAAATCGTTTGTAGGAAATTTATCGATAAAACTATTTTTAGCTTTTTAAAAAATACATATATAAGTTTTATTGCTGCATTTTTACTTCTTTAGAAGTGATATCAGTCGTGCCATTATGATTTAATTCTTGATAATTAGTAAACAAAGTTCAAAGAATAAGACACCGGGATGTCTATAAATTAACATTATTACATTATTTGAAAGGTATTATAAATTACTTTAAAAAATAATTAATTTAATATACTCGTGTTTAGCTGAAAAAGTAAATATCACACAAACATCGCCATAAATAACCAAATATTTTCTTGTTTAAGCTAAAGTTTCCTTTCGCTTTCCTACAAATATACACCAAGACTTCTTCAAATTTCAATCAAGCAACAAAAAATTGTTCTCTATATTAGCCAAGATAGTTATATTTTGCCTTTTCAAGTTATTACAGCAACATGGCCAACATATTTTCTGAAAACCAATACGGATTCAAGCAAGTTTATTGCTGTATTCCTTTCTCCCAATCCAAAAACTCTAATATTGAATTTGGCGATAAAATTTGGATGCCTGTTTCAGCCCTGAATGAATTGGTGGTCTGTGACGTCCCATCTCCATGGATGTTTCAGATTAAAGCATATTACAATTCAGGGCGCGTTTCGCACTGCGGTGTCCTGGAATTCACCGCTGAAGAGGGCTGTATCGTGGTGTCGGACTGGATGATGGAGAACTTGAACATACAAGAAGGAGAGCTTGTAGAGGTCGCAAGCGTAGTTCTTCCGACCGGAAATTACATGAAACTGCAGCCGCATACGACAAAATTCATCGAACTCTCGAACCCAAAGCTGTTCTGGAAAATACCCTGAGTAGCTTTTCTTGTTTGAGCACGGGGGATACCATAATGATCACTCATAATTACCAGAAGTTTTACATTAATATTTTGGAAACGAAACCTGGGCCAGCAATATGTCTCATCGGGACGGATTGTGAGGCGGATTTTGCTGCTCCTCTGGACTGCAAGGAACCTGCAAAACCAGAAAAAGTTGAAGAGAAGGAGATTGAAGAACTGCCGAAATTTAGGCCATTCGTGGGCAAGGGGAGACGCTTGGACGGGGAACCTGCATGTAGAGATGAAAGTGGATAGCGGCAAGATTCAAGATGACAATGCAGCATCAACCACCAGTGGCAGCGGTGGCGTAAAATCTGGAAAGCTTGTTTTTGGTTCTAAGGGTTTCGAGAACACTCCAAAGAGAATACCAGACGACTTGAGGGATAGCCTCAAAAAAGAAGAGAATAAAGGGCAAAAGTTTCAAGCTTTTACGGGCAACAAACATGTACTATGGAGAGAGTAAATTGCTTGTTAATTTTAAATTTTTCACTTAAAACAAACAACTAACTAATTGCTTCTAGACTATTCTTCTGTTGCTGCTCGTGTCACTAGTCTTCTGTGGCATTACCGTTGCATTATGCTTGCTGATTATCCTCCAGCTGGTTGCTGATTATCCTCCAGCTGGCTGATGACATGTTTAGACTTCAATACTCTTCTGTCTCAATTCCTTTTTCAGCATTCTCTCTAATTTCACTCCTGATCTTCATCTTCATAACTCAACAGGCTGTATCGTGGTGCCGGACTGGATGATGGAGAACTCGAACATACAAGAAGGAGAGCTTGTAGAGGTCGCAAGCGTAGTTCTTCCGACCGGAAATTACATGAAACTGCAGCCTCATACGACAAAATTCATCGAACTCTCGAACCCGAAACCTGTTCTAGGAAATAACCTGAGTAGCTTTTCTTGTTTGAGCAAGGGGGATACCATAATGATTACTCATAATGACCAGAAGTTTTACATTAATATTTTGGAAATGAAACCTGGGCCAGCAATATGTCTCATCGGGATGGATTGTGAGGCGGATTTTGCTGCTCCTCTGGACTGCAAGGAACCTGCAAAACCAGAAAAAGTTGAAGAGATGGAGATTGAAGAACTTCTGAAATTTAGGCCATTTGTGGGCAAGGGGAGATGCTTGGACAGGGAACCTGTAGAGATGAAAGTGGATAGCGGCAAGATTCAAGATGACAATGCAGCATCAACCACCAGTGGCAGCGGTGGCGTAAAATCTGGAAAGCTTTTTTTTGGTTCTAAGGGTTTCAAGAACACTCCAAAGAGAATACCAGACGACTTGAGGGATAGCCTCAAAAAAGAAGAGAATAAAGGGCAAAAGTTTCAAGCTTTTACGGGCAACAAACATGTACTATGGAGAGAGTAAATTGCTTGTTAATTTTAAATTTTTCACTTAAAGTTTTATTCCAAATTAAAACGGAAAACGATTTACAATTATTGGGGTAATAACTATGTCCTATGTGGCGCGCATCCATCGGTAGTCTACAATTTTTGACTTTCCACACTTCACATTCACGGTCGGATTTCTTCCACACGGGCCTATGTAATCCATTATATACAATAATTATGTACATATAGATTTATCCATGTTCGTATAGACACGCTCAATAACATGAACTAAATGGCACAAAATTAAAGAGGAATAATTAATAAATTGAAGTTTTATATATAATCAATCTAGTATTGCATTGAAAATGTGAATAATTTAACCTAATTTAGAGACATACTAAACATTATGTCAAATTTAGTAGTTGTTATAAATCCATGGTGGTACATATAATTTTAGAAAGGTACTTTTACGAAAAGCAATTTCAGTCCGGACACATTGAAGTCTAATAGTTTATTAAGAATGACAAATAAACTGAAATACTTTTTTCATGATCGATTGATTACTATGAATTGTTTCAATAAACACATCTTCTGTGTTTTAAAAGAGATGAAAAAAAAAAAAATTCTCTCCGCAATATATTCTTGTTGAGACTGGGATAGATTTTTGATATATAATATCCCGTATATCATATTGAATTTTTTATTTTTGTCAAAAAAAAGTATACGTTTACGTACGTGAAAGACTCAATTTGAACGAGTCTATTTTCGTTGGAAATACACTTGACTAATGTAAAGTGTCCTCAATTTATGAGAATTGACTAGTTAAAATATATTAATTGCATATTTTGAACTTGTTTGAGGTCTATTTTTCAAAACTCATTTTTCAAAAACTCATTTTCAAGCGCATAGTGATCCACAACTTTTTTTTTTCAACTTTTTAATCACATATTTCACTAATTTTTATCAAAATCTAAAAAAAAAAAAAAATCTATTTTTTATTCAATCCAAACAAGGGTTTTAATAAGTTATTTTAAGAACTATTAGACTGATAAAAGAGAAAAAAGAATGTTTAATGTTATATCATTTAAGTTTATCCAATACCATGAATCCAACGTTCTTTAAAAGTGATGAAATAGAGAGAAAGAAAGGAAACTCTGCGTAAAATTCTCCTTAGATTTTAGGTAATTAAAATTGCTTATGGTTGGCTTATAGATGACAAAAAAGCTCGTCGATCCGAGTTCGGCCCGAAAAAAGTCTGAGCTGGGTCGACTCGAGGCTCGGACCGAGTCCTATTTTGGGGTGTCGACTCGAGGCCGGCTCGGCCCGGCCCTTGTGGCTTGTCTAGCTGGACGGGCCGAGCCCGATAATAATAAAAAACATCGAAACAGGAAATTGTTGTAGCTACCTACAAGTGCAGGCGATGAGCCAGACTGGCCGAGCCCGTTAATAATAAAAAAAATCGAAACAGGAAAAAAAATGTTGTAGTTGCCTACAAGTGCAGGCAGCTAAAACTAAGTAGCTGCCTGCAAGTGCAGTAGCTACTTTAGCTTCCTACAGCTTTTGGAAGAAGAAGAAGGAAAAAAAAAACAGAGCCGGTTCGACTTGGGCTCGGCTCAGGCCGCTAACACTCTAGCCGAAAGCTCGGGTTGAGCCGAAATTTTTTGGCCGAACTTTTGCGCTGCTCGGGCCAAAAAAGTTCGAACATTTTTGGCTCAAGCCGAGCCCGAACTTCGAGTTTCGGCTAGACTCATTGACATGGCTAGTTTGGCCCCTTTTTTCTTAAACTCATTTTCACAAAATTCATTTCGAACCACACATCTGATAAAATAATTTCATATGTAGACCTTGTTTTTTAATCACACGTTATTCAACAATGCTATTTCAAAATGTATTTTGGCCCAAAAATGGGACTCAAACAAGGGCTTAGTCAAATCTAGTTTAGTATGATATGATCGTTTGAAATAAAGTCTTTGTGGTACCTGATTTACCCATCGGACATGAGCCGTGGTTCAAGTCAAATGATACTTAAAAGGGAAAATTACATATTCAAGAAAATAAGTTTAGCATTCGGCTTGGGCTCGGCTCGGCTTGACTCGGGCCGCTAAAGCTCTAGCTGAAAGCTCGGGTTGAGCCGAAATTTTTTGGCCGAACTTTTGCTTGGTTCGGGCAAAAAAAAGTTCGAACTTTTTTGGCTCGAGCTCGAGCTCGAACTTTGAGTTTCGGCTCTCATTTTTACAAAATTTATTTTCAACCACACATCTCATAAAATAATTTCATATGTAAACCTTGTTTTTTAATCACACGTTCTTTAACAAATACTATTTCAAAATGTATTTTAGCTAAAAAAATGGGACTCAAACAAGGACATAGTCAAATCTAATTTAGTATGATATGATCGTTCGAAATAAAGTCTTCGTGGTACCTGATTTACCCGTCGGGCATGAGCCGTGATTCAAGTCAAATGATACTTAAAAGTGGCATCTCTTCAAATAGGCATTCATGGGCTTCATCATATATCTTAGGCCAGTGAGATAGTTTTCACCACTATAATTTGTCTTCCCACTCTTAAATCCATGTTTTACTCGATTTAAAGGTACTTCGAATGACTATTTTGTTCTTTGAAATATGCAAAATGGTATATTTCGTGCAAATTTGTCTATGATAAGAAGGAACTAGGGTTGATCCGATTAGGGATGGTCATTTTAATTCTAACTGGATGTTTTAGTCCAATTAAAAAAGATAGAAACCAAAACTAAGAATCGACTTTGTCCAAGAGGGTTCTTGGTTTTTGATCCACCGTTGGTATACGATATTGGAACTGGAATTTGACAGTTTTGTAAATTTTTTTTTCGATTTGTTCACCTTGAGCAAGTTTGTAAGGTTTAAGTAGTAAGTACCATAAACAAACGGATTCATTTATTTGAATTATTTAATCGTATCCTTTTTGTTTTTAACCACTCTTGACCGTACTTTACGTGTTGTTTTTCCCACAAATCTTTCTTGAGGCACTTTATGCAGAGCCACTATAGGAATTTGAAGCTTTATGCTAGATATTATATGGTGTTTGGTGACATATTTGAAATGGATTAAGAAGGTGTTAAAATAGGCATTTAGTTGTATATTTTATTTTTCTATTTCTGATGACAAACGAAAGATAATTTTTATTATCAGCTAACGAATTTTTTTAAAAATTATAATGGGTAGAATTGAACCAGAAACGACGGTTCAAATTGACTTTGGTACATTAATTATATTGACTCAAATGGTTCCATTTATAAAGTACTTGGAGTGTTATGGGTGGTTCCGGGTATTAAAATATTTAATATCTGGACTGATCCACCCGATATTTAGACCTAATTTTCTTCGATGATAAATTATAAAATCTGCTTTTAGATATATTTTTCGCGGAATTATATAATATATTATTCTTAAAAAATTATTGTATTTAAAGATAAAGAATCAACATTATGATATGTCAATATATAAAATTTACGCTTCTCATGAAGCACTCATTTATTTTTTTTATGTATTAATATATAAAAAAATTGTGGTTGTTCACGAATATCATAAATTCTTTTAAAATAATGGTAAGTATAAAGTCGTGCTTAGAAATAATTACCTAATATTTATATAAAAGTTAAAAAAAAAAATTATCGGACTTAGACATGTATAAAGTTGATCTTTAAGACTAACACGATATTTGTAAAATTAAGAAAATCAAAAAAAAAAAAAAATGTATCTATATGAATTGCAAACAACCTGCATATAATCCAATTCCCTATTTCTTTTAGTGTGTTTGGGGCACATTATTTGGAAGAATGTATTCTGAAATAGTAGATTGATGGAGAATGTGTGGTTGAAAATGAAGAAAAATTATTGCTGTTATGGAAAATATTATTTTATTAAAAAATGTGTGGTGAAAATGAGTAAAAGAATGGGAATGAAAATTTTAATGTGTACTAAACATGGGAAAAATTTGTAATTTAATGTTGTAAAATCACCAAGTCTAAAAAAATAGCCAGTATAAATATTTGAAATTACAATTAAAATTCAACAATAAACCAATTGCATATTTGCAATATATTTATATTCATCACAAGTATTTATATACTTAGTTCATTTTTCATAGGGAATAAAATCTAGTTATTTTCTTTTTCAAAATTAAATTTAGCAATTAATTTGAACCACACATTTCATTATACACATAACTTTTAAACCACACATTTCATCAATTTTTATCAAAATATATTAAAAATATAATTTTAATCCACATTAAACAGGGGCTTAGTGTGTGTTTCTCCGAAAACAAGAAATACTATTCTTTTAAAATATTTGTTTATAAACAATTATACTTCTTTAAGAATATAAACATAATACCGAATGTTAATTTATATAAAGTCGTTTCTCTTAAAAAGATATAACACAGTATCCTTCTCGAATATTAAATAGATACAACATTGTGCTTTATTAAATAAAAACAACTATGTGCGTGTTTGATGAATATTATTGATGAAATAATATATTTTAAATAGTGATATGATGAGAAATATGTGGTTAAAAAGTAAGAAAAAATATTGATATAATGAAAAATATTATTTTATTGAAAAATATGTGATTGAAAATAAGTTTTAAAAGAATATATTTTGAAAGAATGAGTACCAAATATGAGCTATATAATATTTTCAAAGAATATTGGAATTTATGAAGTGATGCCCTTCACGAGAAACAATACAATATTCTACTCGAATATTGACAAAATATGAAGTTTTTTTTTTCAAGAATGACAACTCAATATTCCTATAAATTTTTGATAAATTATAAAAATATAATTTTTCATAATTAATAATGCAACTCTTGATATTTTAAAATCGTTACTTGCAAAAAATTATTAATATTCTTTTTAAATATTGATATGATAAAATTGTATATCTGCAGGAGCACCATAAAATATGAAGGATTATTCTATGTGTACACCTTGTGATGTATACAATCTTTTACACTTCTCTCACATGGAGGGGAGTCCACAAATATTTTATT